TTCAGATGCTTTGGTGGTCAGTGGGGACAGCCGTCTCTTGGCCTTCGTGGGTCCCTCCAAGTACGTTGTGACCGTGATGGAGGCCTGCTCTCTAGACGAGGTACCCGGCAGGTTCCCCTTGTTCCTGGGGGAGGGTGGGGAGGGGAGCACGTGCCACAGGAGAAATTCCCATAGGCTGCATCAGATGAGATAGATCAAAGGCCTTGGGCACCAGCAATGTTGGAGAGGGCCCTTCCCTGCCCAGCAGACGCTTGCTCAGGGTGGTTACAATGAGGTTTGTTTTCCATTCTGTGAGATAGAAACAACAAAGTCAAGGTTTCTTCTTCTCTGGCTTCATTCCCCTCTAGAAAAAGTAATTTGGAGAAGTCTTGTGTAGACTGTCAGCTCCGACTCCTCTTTGTGAGCTGCTCTCCTGGGCAGTAGGGACATTGCCTGGACCCTACAGCCCCTCATTAAGTGGGAAGGGAAGGGTCTGGGGGGGCTCCGTAGCCTCGTGTTCGGAGAGCCATGAGAGGCTCCTGAGGCTTCTGCAGTATTTGCTCCATGGCGTTTGTTCAGTAGCTTCTTGTTTCACAGCTGCTGAGGGTGGACATCAGCATCCTCGATTTGAACAGCACGGCCTTGGACTCTGCAGCAAGAGTCTGCTTTGCTCCGGTGCCTCGAGGCGAGCTCCTGGTGTCCACTTCTTCCAATAAAATCCTTGTGCTCGATGCAAAAACGGGACGACTGGTGCGAGAGGTAGGACACTACGAAATTCATGCACTGAGGTCTCATGTCACTGTAGGAAGCTAAATGAGAGAAGAGCTCATCCTGGAGTTCACAGGCTTCAAAGAAACAAGAGTGGCAAGCATGTAGCTATCCTGGTGTGGTCGTGCTCAGGGTGAGCCTGAGCTTGTCCTTGTTTTCCGTGCTGTCGCCCTCCTGTCCTTTTGCTGAAGCATAAGTAGGGACAGGAACTAGCTCAGTTAACGCTGCTGGTGCCGTTTCTTGTCCTCAGATGTCTCCCGTGCACAAGCTGTCCTGTTCTTCCTTGGCGCTGAGCAAGGATGGCAGGTACCTGCTCACTGCTGGCGACAAAGTTATCAAAGTGTGGGACTATCAGATGCGCTTCGATATCAACTTCCAGGTACTGCCCACAAAGGGAGGGAAGGGGGTTGGTGTTGCCCTGATCAAGCATTTTTGAATCCCTGGAGAAGAGAGCAGCAAATGCCCTCTGTGTGACTTGGCCCAGTGTCCCCAGTCCCACTTCGCCCAGCAGCTGAGAAATGCAGCCCTATTCCCACGTTGCAATAACGCCCTGCACTGAGCATGGGCTGGGGCTGCCAAAGCACCGCACCTAGTGAGGTCCTCTGCGAAGGACAGAGGTAGGTGTTACCTCTGCGCTAGGGACAGAGCCACCCAGAGAAGAAAATGGCTCGCCCAGGGTTTCAGAGGTACCAAGAGCTAGGATAAGACCTTGGGGGTTTTCAGCTTCTGCTTGTTTCTCCAGATCAGTGTGTTGAAGGTGAGAGCCAAGTTGATCAACCCTAGGTCTGAGCACTGTAGGGTGTGGTGCTGGCCTCTGAGGGGATCTTCTGCTGAGGAGCATGGACACTGGCTGTGCAGGGCAGGGAGTGTAGTAACCACTATCCTGATAGGTCAGGTGTGGTAATGGAGTAGTTCAAGGGGTGCTCTCTTCCAGGTGTACATCGGCCACTCGGAGCCAGTGCGCCAGGTGGCCTTCACCCCAGACCAACGGCAGGTCATCAGCGTTGGAGATGCCATCTTCCTCTGGGATTTCCTGGCTCTGCCTGCGGAGAGGTCACCCCCAGCCGGGTAAGTGCACGGTGCTGAGCAGTGCCTTGCCCTGCTTCCCCTGCCCCATCCTCTCTCGATGTAACGCCGATCTCCTTGTCTTTCCAGGGCTCGTTCCTCCGACTCCACTCTGCTGCCGGGGGCAGGTGAGTTTGCCTCCTCCCATGAGTTGTGCTGGCCAGCAGCTTGGCAGCTCTTCCACAGCTGCTCTTCATGGCAGAGGGTAGGGGTTGGGGTTTTTTTGTTCCTTCCCTCAGTGGGTCAGATAGCAGGGGGCTAAGCAGCTAATTAACCCCAAGGGACAGTTTTCAATTAACTGGCATCTCAGTCAGAGTCTGCCAAGGAGGGCATGTTCTGAGCAGAGCCGCTCTTGGGTTTCTTGGTAGGTCTTTCAGCTTTTGCCTTCTGTCTTTCCCTGCCTCCATCTCTTCTGTCTTCTTTTTCCCTGCCCTCACTGTCCCTCTCTCTCTGTCCCTGCCTTTCGTGAAGGACAGGGGAGAAGTGGCTTCTCCTGTGGAGGAGGAAGCTGGCGAAATGAGCTTGGAGGTATCACCATCAATCAACTCAGGAGGATGAGAGGATCTAAGGGATGAAGAAAGTTACACAAACCCTTTTCTCTTCACAGAAGGGAGCTCTGAGAAACTAAAGGATGCCTCTGAGACACCTCGGCAGACGGTTCCTCTTCCATTGTTGTCCTCACCACCATGTTTGGATGTCAGCTCTGTCCACCAAGCAGGATGTCAAAGTAAGAGGAACTGCTTGCAGAAAAGGGGAAAATTAATCTTGTTTTAGGAAAACCTCCTTGCTTAGTTCAGCAGCATCCTTGGAGCCATCCCTGCCCATGATCCCCTTCCTGCAGACTGATAGACCAGTCTGCACTTTCCTTCCCCTAACTTGGACAAAGCCAGCCAGAGGAGTTGGGGTTCAGCACCACTTTATCCTCTGCTCCCCTCTGTAGACTAAGCTGCTGGCACAGCTTCTCTGAGGGCTATGGTAAATACCTTGCTGGACATACCCAGGGGGAAATGTCTGCTTTGCCTTCCACCCTAACAGATGGGCTTGTTACACAGAGCAGGAGAATGACACTGCCAGAATCAAAGAGTCGGTCACACATGAAGCAGTCCTGAAGGACATGGACAGCTCTGTCCTCCCGCTAATTTTTCTCTTCAGGTATTTTCTCTGAGTCGGACAAAGAGGAGGAAGCAGGTCTGCCAGGCAGCAGCAGGATGGTGGCGAACGGAGACAAAGATGCCTCGGTCGTTGTGGTGGAGGCGGTCAGAAATGAGGAGCTTCTTGTTGTGAGGCCCAAAGTGAGGCAGGAGAGCTCGAGGTCTCCTGGAGAATCAGCAAACGGTAAATCAGGAGTATTCCCATCTTGTGCAGAGCTTGGCTCCTTAAGGGCACGATGTGTGCAGGCCTGCATGGCAGCTTGGTCTATCCCTGAAAAATAAAGATCGATCATTATTAATATGGTACAGATAGACCCAGGGACATGCTCTGGGTTGTGAGATGAAGGGCAGCAATGTGTTCCTCGGGGCTCTTCCCTTGGGTGTGATTTACCAAGGGGAGTCAGTATTGAGGGAAGCTCAGGCTGGTCCCCAGGACTGCTTGTTTTTCTGGCCCTTTCCCTGCTGCTGCTTCTAGGCACACCAGAAGCCCCTCTTCAGCTTGGAGCCAGTATCTTCTCTAAGTGGCACGTTCTGTTAAACCCGGCTGAAATTAAAGCTCCCAATGTCTCTATTATTAGATGCACAGCCTCAAAGCTGCAACAATTTGTGGCGAGCGGCCAGAAGCAGGCAGCTGCCAGCACTCAGCCTCAGGCAGGACTTGTTGGAAAGCTTCAACATAAAATTATGCCTCCGCCGCTCTCGTTAAAGACCTCTTTCTCGCTGTGTGGCTTATGCTTTCACAGCGATGGTTGGGGCACGCAGCGTGGATGCCCTTAGGCTGTTTGCAGTGTGGTGTGGCTGAGCGGGATGATGGGGGGAGATGGATGTTCCTCCTTTCCTCCTGGAAATCTGGTGCTTTTCTTATGGCCAATAAGAGGACGG